ATTAGTACAGCCGCTCTGAAAAACCATGGCGGCATCTGACTAAGCCGAATATTCTGACCTGGCAACTCCATTTCTGGGCACATAGTCGAAAGAGTGAGAGCTGCTGTCCACTGAAAGACAACACGTGGGTGTTCAGAAGAACCATGTGCCTTGTAGATTCTATTTGGAAACAATCTGAGTGTCCACCAAAAGCAGAGGGGTGAGGAAATATGGCAGGTCCAGAGAACAGGCTATTGCCTGGCCATGCAGAGGAACCAGATACTCTCTCACAGAACAGATGTTCTGGCATGTCTTGGGTGGGCACTAGAATTGTCCTAGACTTCGTTCTGGCCAGAGGTTACAGGAATGTGTATGCATGTCAAATTTCACCATGTTATTTCTCTTAATACATGCACATTTTAGTATATGTAAGTTTAACTTCATTAAAAAACAACAACAAACAAACAAACAAGCTTAGGTATGTAACTCAGTGGAAGAGAGCTTGCCAAGCATGTGCAAGACCCTGGGTTCAATCACCTCAAACGAAACAAGACCCCCCTCCCCCCCTCCCCTGCAAATAAAAAATAAACAAGAAGTTACTCTATATCATCTGTTTAGAACAAAGTAGGCCTGAGATAATTACTTGTCAGAATTCCCAGAATAAAGGCGGGAGTGATGATATATATCTGTAATCCTAGTACTCAGGAGACTGCAGCAGGAAGACCTTGAGTTTGAGGCTAGCCTGGGCTACACTACAAAACTTCATCTCGAAAACAGAAAACAAAACCAAAGTCCAGGGCTGGGGATGTAGCTCAGTTGGTAAGTACTGGCTTAATGTGTATGACCATCCCCAGCACGGTATGACCAGAGTATAGGGGCCCATACCTACAACCCCAGCATCGGGATTCAGGCCACCCTGTTCAAACAAACAAAATAACAACAATAAAATACTCACACACTAGAATTCCCAGAACAAAGGTGACAACGGTCCTTAGGAGCCCCGGGGACATCGTTTTTTAAAAGTCACTGGCCATCAGAGCACTCCTTGATGGCTAGATGTTATGAGAACTGTGGGAAATGGGTGGCTGCAGGAAGTGGTAAGGGCTGCCTGGGAAGCAGAGTAGACAGTGTTGCTCTAAAGAGCTGATTCTAAACCTCAGCCACCTCCACACCCCTGGAAGCCTGCTTAGACACAGCTAATCCTGTTTCTAACTCAGCAGGACCTAGAATCTGCATTTCTAGTAAGCTCTTTGGACGTGCTTCTGCTGCTAGGCCATGAATGCACTTTGCTAGTCTCTAGTGTGCCAAACCAGGAAGGCCGGCCATTTGTGATGCTGTTGAAAATAAGAAGAATTCACAGGGATTGCTGGGAACGGAGTCCCAATAGCAGAGTGCTAGGCTGGCACACACAAAGCCCTGGGTTCACCAGCGTTGTTTAAACCAGGTGCGGTGGTGCATGCCTGCAATCCTAGCATTCAGGAGGTGGAGCAGGAAGGTCAGAAGTTCAAGGTCATCCTTGGCTGTGTTGAAAAAAAAAAAGACAAAGTAGAAGGACTAGCTTCTCACAGCAGAGGAAAGATTTCTGTTGCCCAATGACTTACAAAAAATACTTTCTTCATCCCCTCCCTCCAAAAAAAAAAAATCATAGGGACTGGCACAACCCTATGGTTGGTAGGAGTCACAACCCCCCCATTTTAGAGAGGAGTGCACTGAGTCTCCACTCTTGCAGATAAGACCCCTCTGGCCACAATCCTGGGCATGTTCAAGCTGAGAGTGGGTGACTGTCTGCAGGGATGCTAGGGGTGGAATTCCACTTTCCAGCGGAAAATGGCACGAGACAATTTTGGAGTCCTCTGGCCTCTCCAAGCTGGCCTGTCTACAGCCAGTACTTTGAAACACTAACACATATTAAACGCCGACAAAATGCCGGCTCCTGTGCCAGGTCTCTCCAGGGTGTTTTTGACTCTCTGTAAAGTGCTTTCTGATCATCTCGCCTTTCCTCATCCTTCCTGTCTTCCTTGGCACCTGGGGTGACTACACCCTCCCCTTTCCAGGCAGGCTGGGTGCTGGGGCTTCACGTGGATATTTGGTAAAGGAGGCTCTCTGTGCACACACACACACGCCTGCCTCTGCTCTATTCCAGCTCATGCGTGGTAAGGTGGCCTGACTATCAAGGTAATGTTCTTGGCACCAAGCTATGTCACCTGCCCCAGGCCAACCCCACACACAGCCTACGGAAGCCTGTTCCACACCGCTGCCAGCAAGGCAATGATGTGGCAGTGGTTATGACAGTATTTAGGGCGTGGAAGGGGTGACCTCGTGCTCCGGGCTGGCCACAGGAATGGCAGAGTGTGCTGACCTTGAACTGCAGACCTCTTGGTGCTGCTCCACGCAGGCCTGAGACTCTGCAGGGCTTCAGGGTCACTGAGATGATCCTGCTAAGCATAATGACAGTCCCAAGGCCGGCGACACCCCCATAACCTGGGGGCATCAGACCATTTCGCCTTTTACATTATTTTTACTTGGAAGGTTTTTTCCATTCTAATAGAAACGGTAGCAAAATCAAGCTGGGCAGCGCGGATGTAGACACTAAGGAATCTGGCAGCAGTGATGAACAGAGAGTGGCAAGGGTGTGGTCAGTTTCTCCCCCTCCCGCCAACCCCACGCCCACCCCTGTGTAAAAGACGGCAGATTGATGCAGCTTCCCAATTAAGCTCAGGGTTTCAGTGTGAAGAGCTAGGAGACCCAGGCACCCAGCAAGGACCAAACTCCATGTCCTTGTCTTGGAAGAGCAGCAGCCGTGAACAAGTAGTCAGGGTGGGGGTAAGTTACCAGTCCCACGAAGGGACCCAGGGAGGTCAGAGGAGCTTTGGAGCAGGTGGTTTTTGAAAAGCAATAGGCTCATCTCCAAGCTAGAAACCCTTCACGCCTGCGCACTTTCTTCCCAGGTTCTTCACATTTGGTGGCGGGGTATGGGGGGGGGGGCGGTGAGTAGTGGTAGTGGTCTGAAATTCCTCCCTAGAGCTTGTGAGGAGGGATGGGGGCATTTCCCTTAAAAAGAAAGAAATCGTAGGCAAGGTCTTCTGTTTTTATGATACTGTGACTCAAACCCAGGACCTCACCCACATGTCAGGCAACACTCTACCAATGAGCCGCATCCCTATCCCTAAGAACAGACTTTTAAATACACAACCCGGAGCTGGAGAGATGGCTCAGCAGGTACGGGGCCCTTGCCGACAAGTCTGAAGACCCGAGTTCCATCCCTGGGACCCCCACGCCCCTCAAGATGGAATAAAAAGTCTAAATACACGACATAATGAAAAATACAGTCAGGTGCCATAGCACATGCTTGTGATCCTCATACTCTACGAACATACTCTAAGAACTGCTATGGGTTCCCGGGCAGCTATGTGTGTCTCAAAAGTGATCAAGATCTGTCTTAAACAAAACAAGAAAGAGAAGGGAAAGCAGGACAGCCCCGTCCTTAGGGAACTTGTTGAGAGATAAGGTACAGAAATATAAAACCAAAAGTTGTAAAGAAGTTGTGTAAATAACACCTCCCAGCTGTCTCGTTGGCAGGTGGGGCATCCTGGGAAAGGGGCAGGAAGCTAGAACTTAGGTTACTGCCCTGGGGCCCAAGAACTCCAGGGGCAGTTCTAAAGAACTGAAGGCTGCCTGTGCGGGCGTAGAGGCTGGTAGCCGCTGGAACAGTCCTGAATGAGAGCTGAGTCAGAAGTGAAGGGTGAAGGGGGTCGGACAGAATTTATCTGGGAACCTTCCTGAAGGAGTATGGAGTCAAGAGAAAATTACCACGAGACTAGCTGTGGTGGAGATGGGGGACGTGTTCCCTTTATTTGAATTGCGTTTCTATTTAATTTTCACATTTTACGTATTAATTTTAGTGTGTGGACACAGTTCTCTCCTTCCGCCCTATGGGCCCTAGGGATCGAACCCAGGTCCTCAGGCTTGGCAGCAAGTGCCTCTACCCACTGAGCCATCTCCCCAGCCCTTCGGTTTGTTTCTTCTTTTTAAAAAAAGCTTTTCATTTTTATTTTCTGTGTATGGATATTTGGCCTGCATATATGTCTGTGAAACACTTGTGTGCCCATGGCCTGCTGAGGCCAGACGAGGGATTAGAGTCATAGATGGTTGTGAGCTGCCATGTGGATGCTGGGATACAAACCCCTGGTCCTCTGGAGGAGCAGCCAGTGCTCCCAACCCCTGAGCCATCTCTCCAGCCCCCAGTCTGGTTTTACTTTAAATGCAGGAGGAGGGCACACCTTGGCACTCCAAGTAAACATCACAGACGAAAACACTATTTTCTTTTTGAAAAATTTTTTTGATCATACATTAGTTGTACACAACAATGGCTCCATGATGACATTTTCATATGTGTACATAATGTGCTTTCTTCCTCCCTATTTCCCTCTCTTGTCCCCCTCCCATTCCCACGGAGTCCTTTCCTCTTCCCAACTACTGCTCCTGGTACTTTCGTGTGTGTGTGTGTGTGTGTGTGTGTGTGTGTGATGTGTGTGTCTTTGTGTGGTATGTGTGTGTTTTGTGTGTTTGTGTGTGTGTGTGTGTGTTGATCCAATGAATTTAATTAGGGTTACTTACAAGACCCCAAGAGGAGGGTTTTTTATAGGAACATGAGTGACTTACCAGAAGCCACATCACTCAAAATAATATATCTTCCACTTCCAGCAACCACTAACTACATAAGGATCCTCAAGGAAGGATGGGGTCTTGTAAGCCTCCCTTCCACGTAAAAACCAACTTTTGAGAAGATTTTAAAATAAAATTGGAGCCATAAGCTGGATATGGTGGCACACACCTTTAATCCCAGCACTTGGGAGGCAGAGGCAGGGGGATCTCTGAGTTTCAAGGCCAGCCTGGTCTACAGACCTAGTTCCAGGACAGCCAGGACTACACAGAGAAACCTTGTCTCAAAAAAAAAACAAAAAAAAAAAAACCAAAAAAAAAACCAAAAATAAATAAAAAATAAAATGGAGTTGGGGGGACTTTAAGGAACTACTGATCTATGCAAATATCGGGCCGCTGCCCAGGGATTTACTGTTTGTTTTTTGAGGTAGGGTTTCATGCAGCCTAACCAACTCTCTATACAGCTAGGTGACCTGGAACTCCTCCTCCTCCTACCTTTCAAGTGCTGGGATATAAGCATGCAGCCTCCTAGCAAGGGAGACAGACTTCTTAAATTGGCCATGAAAATGGCATGGGAATGAGAACTTTGAGCTGCACCAAGGCCTTGGAAGGTATTAATGTCTTTTATTGGACACAACAGGCTCACAAACGACTAACGAACTTTTTACCTGTGCAGACAGCTCAACCAATCGGGTGCAGCCAGGACCAGTAGCCGAGTGGGTGAGAGGCGTGTCTCTCTGACAGTGGCCCTCCTCCCACGGAACTGTGGCTCTCCCTCTGGACTTCAAGTCTGTGATGAATCACTGTAGAGCACTCCCTCGTAACTGTCCGATCTGTATTTTGCCCAGCTGCAGTTCTTAGACCTTGGATAAAGTCGTCTGGCTTTCACAGCGTCTGGGCTGGACTTCCTCAGAAGGAAGTGGAGAATGTGTGAAACTGAAGAAGAGAAGTTAGGAGAGAAAGAGGATGAGTCTGACCTTGCTGTCCCCGGCTCATCTTCTAGATCCTCTCCCATTGCCTCTTCCATGTCGTCTTCCCAGGCAGAAGCTCCTCTGGCCTCTCAAGTGATCGCTTTTACGAGTCCACCTCCCGGCTGCGTCTCTCCTCACCCGACGTCTCCACCCAAAGCCTCACACAGCAGAGCATGCAACAGCCTTCTGCCCGTGAGGAGGCTGCGTCCAGATTCACAGTGCAGGGGTGTTCACCTCATCCCTGCTTCCTTTCTTGTATTACTATCTTAGTATAGTACAGATTACATATGATAAAACGCCCTCTTCTTAAGAGTGCAGCCCGGTAAGCTTTCACAGATGTTTCTAATTGGGTAGTGTGGGGGTAAAGGAAGATTTCCTCCTGTCCTTTGAAAGTCGGCCAAAACAAACTGAGGGATATTAAATAGGATACAAAGTTAAACCCCTATACGGGAGAACTCACAGGGCTGCCATTACCTACCCAACCAATGTCACTTGGAGGCTTGGGTGTCTCCTTTTCTATAGGAGAGGAAAGAATAGACACATTTAGACACTTTTGTCAGAAAGTGGAGACAGTCTCTTGGAGTCCAAATGAACGCAGGGACAGTTGTTAGCTTATACGGAAGTCCAATCAGGTGTGTCCTGGTCCCCAGTCTTCCTTTCTGAGGTGGACGATAGGCTCCCTTTGTAATCTGGCCTCACTGCTGAGAAGGGATTTCCACAGAGCTCTCTCCCCATGCTTCGGGGAGCCGGGCAGGGAAGGGTTCAGGGAAGGCGGAGGGTCTAGCTCAGTGACAGAACACGCATGTAGTATGGAATGGATAATGCCCTGAGTGTGGTTCTTAGCACCTAACGGGGAAATAGGCAGACAGACAAAAACAAAAGGTGTAAAGAGAAAGGAAAAAAAGAAGGGGAGGGGTGAAGAGGGGAAGAGGGGAGGGAGGGAAGGAAAGGGGAGGGTGGGGAAGGGAAGAGAGAGGAAAGTACAGGTTACAGGTCTTGATTTTAAACACGTTTAGCCTTTTACATTTTATTTAGCACAAGTTGCTCAGCTTGCCCAAAAATGCGATATATTGGAGCTGTCCTCTAAAAGTCGACAACAGTAGCTTCTATTCAGGTCAAACGATAAAATATTTATATCATCCCAGACCCCGGGCTGCCTCACTGTTACCAGGGTCATTGCCATTGTGGCAGAGAAGCCAGCCAGCAGGGCAATGTAGCTGGGGTGCATCATCTGGAAGAATCATGAAGAGTTCCAGGTACTCGGACTGGAGAACGAGTGAAATCCCTGTGTCCAGATCATGTGTCGGAAGGACTAACAGATAGAGAGCAGGAGGGTCATTCTGTGTGAGGCCTTGGGGAACAGTTACAGGAGGAACATTCCAGTTCAGTGGAAGACATCTTCCCCAGAGCTGACTCACAGTGGAAGCAGGCCTCTAGCAAATGACAAGTGGGGG